TCCATTTCCGTCTACATATACGTTTATCTCTGCCGGTGGTTCATCAGCCAAAAATTCACCAATAGCATAGTCGAAAGATAGACATCGGTCATTGGCTTAAAACAAATAAATCGCAAAATTTCATACATCAAGCAAAATGCAAAATTGATTCTATGTTAAAAGGCGGTGGAATATGAGTTGCAACGCTCAGTATATAAATTTTACCATTGTTTCAACGTTGAAACCTCAACGACATCTTTTTCTTTAAAAAAAAACTTTGAATATTCAACGTAAAATTTAAAGGTTGAATGTTTTGTTTTCAAAGGTTGAAACATGTTGAGGATGCAATATATTTTAAACGATGGATGTTTAAAGAAAACCAAAATTAACCTTTAAAGCAATCAAATGTCCTACTCATTTTAAATTTCTGGAAAGTTGTAAATTTACTTTGAAACATACAGCGTAAATATTTCAATATTCCATCAACTTTCAGAGAAAAACAAAATTTAAGGTTAAAGAGCAACGCTTTTTTCTCTGAAATACCTGCTGAGACAAAGAATAAAACTTATATTTAGATTTTCATATTTTTTTTTTCTACACAGTAAAGAATGATTGTAATTTAATATATACATAGAAAAAATTACATTCTTTGCCAAATTGAAAATATACAAATCTAATTGTTTTTTAACATTTTCATGCATAGCAATTACTTTGCACATGTATATGTATTCATTAAATAACCTTCAAACTTGGCAGTTGTTTTGATTCTGGCTTTTGATTCGCTGCTGTATGGAACATCGTCGAAGGATGGTGTCATCGTTAGGAACTGGTAACCAGTACCGTGTGTTAAACATGGTCCGTCATTTCTTTCACAAAGTCGCTGTATATTACAAAATTACCAGAACTTAAAAAAAAAGTTTTGTAGCGCTGTTCTGACTCAGGATGAAGAACTGTAAAGTTTATTTTTTTCCACTTCCATGAGAAGAAAAACGACCCATTTTTAAAGACGTTCCAATCGTACTTTATTTTGTAATCTAATAATACGTTGCAGAAATCTCTCTGTAAAAACATCAATGTCATACCTCTTTATATTCAACACTTGATAATAGTGGTTCCCATATTCATTTTTGGTGAATTCAAATGCATTCTATTTTCTTTAAAAACATGTTACAAATCGTACACTTTCAAATTTTCCTAACTAAAAATGAATTTTCAAACATGCATTTCTCAGTAAATTTAAACAAAAAAAATAGTTTTCTTATTTTTTTTATGAATTTCAACAACTATTTCAATGCATTTACATGCACTTCAATGAATTAGATTAAACTTGCCCCAATTTTGTCTCGGTTTTATTTTAACTTTCCTCGAATGACTTTTGATCTTTGTTCAATATATTTATTTTAGTCCCTGATATCAAATATGTCTCAATTTTGATTCAGTTTTATCATCAATTACTACGAACTAATTTACAATTTTCTTGATAACTTGATAAAGCATTGCCTCTTTGTACAAATCCGATCAAATTTACCGTATTAAAGCTCCATAGAATGTCGCCTGATTCATCTTGGTCAAATAAACAGGTCCCAAAGTCATCTTCAAAATTGCATGAATTCAGTGATAGGGCTGTAATGAAACAGAACATATTCATGTACTGTTCATAGTAGCCATTCAAGGTACATGTATGTTACTCATCGGCTTTTTAGAAAAGTTCATGCAGAACCTCTTACTTCAATGATATTTATCAAGAGGTGTGGCGGTTGATAGATAGGTACCCCAAATTGTAACAGCCTGACAGAAGGACATACGAACAAACGGACACCTTGACTTGTATATACCCTCCAACCTTTCAAGCAGGAAGTATTATAATATGGAAAAATTTATATGTACCTTCAAATTCATTACAAGTTTCTCCCGACAGACCATTTTTGCATGTGCATGTGTATGATCCGCCTCCAGATCCCTCTGTGCATGTTGACCCTGTCTTGCACGGAGAACTCATACAACCTAATAAGAAAATGTCTTAATTGTCACTTGAGTACAATATATACATAATAATGAAAGAGCTTTACAGAAATTTAAAATAAAAGATAATTTTAACTGGTGGAGAATAGAATATATTTTGTACAAAAGCAGGTTTAGGTCTCTCAACTTACAAATTATATTGAACTTTATTGGGTCTTTTCCTGGCGTTGAAGTGTTCCACTTAACAAGGACCTGTGTGTAAAAATTTTAATGGCTATATATGAATTTATACATTTCTTCTAAAACCATTTTTTGATAAAAAAAAAAAAACCTAAAACTCATTTTTTGTAATATTTGTATACTTTTCTTTGTTTGCAAAAAAAATAATTTGATTTTTTCCAAAATACCCTGGTGAGGCATGCTGATTTTTATTTGTAAAATTTGATTGCAATATAAACTTAAATTAAGAACATCTTGAAAAATTATCAGTATGTAAGATGTGTTTTGCATATGTCCCTAAAGCAAGTCTCACAACTGACGAACTGTGAATAAAAAAAGCGATAGATCAACTAAGGTTTTAGGTAACCTAGGAGCATAAAGTTGTCTGTTTAAACACGTAGTAACCGGTATATATTCGCTTGAATTGATGTGCAGAGAGCTGTGTCTTCATACCCAAATAATATTGAATTATACATCATAAATATATTTTGCATGTACTTTAAATTTTACATACATGTACACAAAATATTTTTTTCCTGTATATGATTAAAAAAGGTTATGTACATCTAAGCTCACATAAAGTATTTTTTCGGAATTTTTTTCTCAAAATAATATCGAAAAAAGATAGCTTGTTTTCTCATTTAGTATTTGCTCTTATCAGTTTTTCAATAAATTTTTAGTCAATGATTTTTTTTTCATGTATAAGGTGAATATAACTCTTTACAAATGTTTTGGCTGAAATCAATTTCTGTCTCTACAGTTGTATTTTTCGAAGAAGGATATGGAGATAATGAACAGTATTGAATATCAAAGTCTATTAAACAATACAAAATGGGAGCAGACAACACACGAACCCCCAAAACATCAGATGTTGGATCAGGTCCAATGGAAGTGTAAGCCGACCGGTCACACTCAAAGTGTAAGTTGTACTGACATCAAGTACAAGTCGTATAAATTATTAGAAAACGATGAAATATAAAGACTACTAAGAAGTAAAGCAGAAAAGAAGCTTTTTGTGCCTCAACCTAGTGGGACTGAAACTTCATTTAATAAGCCTTTACCAAGCAAAGAACTTGTTTCCACATCTCTCACTTGGAATCAAACAAGCAACATAAAGAAGAAACAAAAAGTATTTAATAATTTAAATATTCAAGTACAGCGCAGCCTCGTTTATACGGACTCTTTAGTTCCCAATCAATTTGTCCGGATATGTGAATGGTCCGGATACTTGAATCACAAGTTAAACAAGACAAATAACGTAAAATAAATTCTGTTCCGATTATAAATCATCCGGATACTGAAGCATCCGGAAATCTGGCGTCCGGATATCTGAAGGTTCATTGTATAAAGAACCGTTTAATGTTTTACCTGATTGGAAAGCCTCCACTCTCATAGTGAAACCTGTCCCTGGCAAATGATTGTTCTTGCTGTTGAATCGAATCATGAATGGTGAAGCCTCACCAATGTCCATTTGGGTATATATTATGGGAGTCGTAGATTTCCCACACAGTCTTAGAAATATCAATTACAAATATTAAATTAATGTTCAAAAATCGCTAAGTGTCGTATCTCCTTAAACATATCAACTGGATAAGTCAATAATAAATTCTGATTAAAGTGCGTAAAATTTATGGGATAATATTACTCTTTTCCAGGATCCCCAATGAGGTAATCACGGAACTCCAGCCAATGAGAGCATTCCTTTCTCACGCTATAGGGAAGATCAATGGATGTCACGATGGCTTTCATTAGAGAATCAGGTTCAGCCTACAACAATATAGACTAGATGTAAAAAAAAAAAAAAACAATTAATTTTGGTCTTTGTTTCAAAACTGTAATAAAATCCAATTTCTTGCAATGATTCTCAAATCAGTAAAATGGCTGATATTTCCTAAAGTCTATGTCTCACTGATGTACTAAAGTATAACCTAGGCAAAGAATACATTTCTGCAAGATAACTTGTGAGATTTCATTGGGCCCTTCAGGTTTTATATTAATTGATAAAACAGCTGACATGTATCTTTCTCCAACATACTTTTATAATATATAATTTCTCAATATAGGCTATCTTTGACATTTTTTTTTTTGCCTTCCGCGGACTTGAGATAAATCACAAGGTATAGGTGGGAAAAATCGTTTTTATCCCGAAAATTTCAACATATTTGTTGACGGTAAATTAGAGGAAATATATCATGTACTGGAATTTAAAAATATATATATATAGCTTTGAGTAGGGACATTTTGGTCAGTTGATAGGAGAGGGCATTCAAATGTTTTTCATTCAAATGCTTTCGGTATTTTTTTTTCATTTCAGGATGATCTCAAAATGTTTTGTTAATGTTAATATATTCGCCGCATCCTACTTCTAGTATTAAGACCAAAATCCTACCTTTACAAGCCATGTACACATTCTACCAGTTCTGTATGACGTGATATTAATGTCCCTTGATTCCCCATTCAAAAGCGTAATGGTTTCCCCACAACCTATTTTACAAAAAAACCCGAATTCAATTATGCATACTGAAATACCTAGTAAGGTTTTTAACTAGATATTTATTGTATATTTCTGTCCTATGGGCAAGAGAATGATCATATAGCACTGAAGTTCAGTCAAATTTCAGTAGATTTTCAAGCAAATTTGTGTTTAATGAATGACAAAGATTCATTTTTTTTAGAAATTAAAAAGCAATTTTAAATGGGGAATTTCACATCATGATCCAAAACACACATATCTTTAAAGCACTGCCCTGGATCATGAGGAAAAACAAAATAAAGATGACCGAATACCTTTATTCGTGTTGATAAATATCGGATTTTGAAAAAGAGAATTTATACATGACCTCCTTCTTTAATTGATATGCATATATTGTGGTGAAGAAAAAAAATAACATATCCATGGTACCTTCGTCAGTGTCCAACACTTCGCAGGTTTTACCCTTTAACCCGGACGGACAATGGCAGTGGCAGGTCTGTTGCTCTACTGCCTGCATTCTGAACCCGTCATTCTTACAAGTTAAACTACAGCTGGCTGTCACCAAATATTAATAAATAATAAATTAATTATTAAGAATTAAAAATGTAAATTATTGATTAATGACATGTACAGCTTGTTTTTTTCCTTTGAACTGAAATATGTGAAAGTAATACTAGTATTTGACTCAAAAGTCCATTAAACATTTCAAAAAGGAGCAGGGCAAACACAGACCTCCGAAAAATAAGAGGTGAGATTAAGAACAATAAAGGTTTTAATAGAGTTAGCCGATCGGTCACTCTCGCCAGGTGCTCCTTGTTATATTTAAAAAAAAAATAATAACAATAATAATAAACCAGAAAAGTCGATGGAAAACTCAGAGTGTAAAAATGGTTTTAATGGTTTATACAATCAGTATAAAAAAGTAAGTCAGCATTTGACTTAATCATTAATTGTATTTGCTAACAAAGTCATCGTATCAACCATAGAAAAGATAAATGAAAGATATGGAGATAATGAACAGTATTCAATATGACAGTCCATTAAACAAAACAAAAAAGGAACAGAGCATAAAAGGACCTCCGGAACAACAGAGGTGGGATCAAGTGCCATGGAGTAGTGAGCATCCCCTGCTGACCTGTCACACCCACCGTGTGCTCCTTGTCATGATTGGGAAATAACGGGAAAATTTGTAGTCAATTGAGAGTATAAATATTGGACAAAGAATTACTATGAAACACGTGAATCACCATTTGACTCAATGATAAATTATTTTTGCTGACAATGTCATTGTATCGAACATAGAACTTTCGAAATGATGACTTTAAACGAGCCTGCTGATATTCTTGTTTCATCAACTTGCTTGTCAATAATTTATCACGTTTTAGAAATTGTTGATACATAGAGCATGCTATCGAATTGACTGAGATATATACACTCCATATGCAGGTGATGAAGGCATATTGCTGCATAAGTAAGGGAAGTTGACGATAGAAAGTTAAAGTCATCAAGTTTATCATATAGCTTGGTTGTTAGATTACCATTAACGTCTTTTTCAGGTAAAATGTCCAAGTAGGATATAGATTTGTCAGACTCTGTGGTATCTTTTATCTCAAGCTCTCCAGGATAGATTGTATCGACGTAGGGATGGAAATTACAATTGTTAATTGACAATACGTCGTCGATAAATCTATAAATGTCGAGTTAAAGAGTTAATGTCGTTTTTGCATTAAAGTGCTTCCGTTGCACAGTAATATAGCAATGACTGATATACACAATAATTTTGAAACTGGATCAGATGCCTGATCTTTCTGTTCCACCTTGAGGGTGAAGAGGATATAAAAAATCTTATTTTCTTATATTTGCACCTGCTATTTTATGCCATTAATTGCTTAATATATATAGAAATTGGGTCGTTACTTGAATTAGAAACAAAACACTTTCTAAAGTTATATTTTACATTTTGAAACAACCTACACCTTAAGGATATCTGATCCTCAGCCAGGAAGGATAACTCCAAAAATTTATATTTAATTTGAAATGTATCAAAATGAGGCTTGAAAGGGAATTATTTTCATGCAATAATTTTTATTTTATTCATCTTTATAAGATTCAAGGTCTTTGGAAGTCTTGGAAAAGATCTTATAAAAGTTGACATTTTTACCCTACCAAAGGAGAAAAATTAATACAGTTTTAGAGAAATAAGATTTTCTTGAATCCAGCCTTAGATACCAATGCTTATTAGCATGATATGAAATGAGATGTAATCGTTGGTGTCTTGCAATGATATCAAAAGCCTTTTACATTATATATTATAGAATATGTGACCCTACCAAAGGAGAAAAAATTAATACAGTTTTAGAGAAATAAGATTTTCTTGAATCCAGCCTTAGATACCAATGCTTATTAGCATGATATGAAATGAGAAGTAATCGTTGGTGTCTTGCAATGATATCAAAAGCCTTTTACATTATATATTATAGAATATGTGACGGAAAAAGAAGACAAAAAATACCAAATAAGTGTAAAATTCATGACAATTTTAATGAATGCCTGGATACTTATTGTTTTTTAACCTAAAATATATTATTTGATCAATGTGCAATTAAAAAAATGAATTGCATATATTCCAATTCGCTTTTTCTGCAAAAAATATTGGAGATTTGACAATTTTCCCTATATAATTTGATTAACTTTAATCTATAACTTTAAAGAAAGATTGTGGATAAATTTACATAACTTTGTGATTTCAGAGATACTTTAATGAGCATTTTTGGTAACTTGACTTAATCTTATAAACCTGAGGATCGGACTACCTTAAAAACTACACGATGAACTGAAATGTTTCCAATACCCTCCTGTTATTTTCTGCGACATGCTCTTAAATAATAATAATCTTATATTTGTAAATATCATAGTCTCTTGATAATTGTTAAAAAAAAACAATTAATTTCATTTCAAGAATGAAAATTAATTATTGGGTAAATGTGAAATTTTCAATGAACCAATAAAGAACTAACCCGTTGGACATCTATAAGCTTTATTAACCTCCGCCATGTCATAGAAGGAGAAAAAATACTTTGGGTTAGTAATAAGGTACTCCAGATCCCTGTCAGGAATCGTCATTGTGTTTTTACCATTTATTGTAAAAGCCTACAAAAAATTGTAGAAGTTAAGCACATGATGTTCAATATGTATGTTTTATATCTGAATACTTCACATGAAATATTTCCTCATATTTGTATATATTTTTTCCTCTTACCGCCAGATGATATTGTAAAATTGACTTATAGTCATAAATTTCTCTGTTTTTGGTATGTTGATTTATAGTAAACGCATTTGTATATTTAGTTTCGATGTTTTCCCAGCTGATTTTCACAAAAGTTTGTCTTCCGTTCCTCTGTTGTTCGTGAACTCCACCCATTGCATGGTGCATTTCATGTAGTACGGTGTATTCCTTGAAATTTAAAACGTTCAGAAAAGTCAAAACTATCACGAATATTGTTGGAAAATATGTTTTTATTCTGTCACAAGGTAACAGAATAGGTTGGAATTCACTACATTCACTAAAACTGGAATTACCATTGAGATACGCAGCATTGTTAATGCTTGAAAAAGGGGGCGGGGCCTAATTTATACGGGAAAAGTTTACTGTGACGTCACACAAAAATATGACTTTTATGTATTTCTCAAAATACCTGAAAATGAAATAATTTGCAATTTTAAACTGTTTTAGCATAATAAACAACAATATAACTTATCAATGCATTAAAAAAAAGTTGCCAGTTAAATCCCATGTAGCTGGTTATAAACAACGTGCTGATCGAGATGAACTTGTAAACATGACGTCATATGGGTAAAAATGACGTATTTCATGTGCTGGCAAATTGAGGAATTTTTTAACAAAGAAAAATGCGTTAATCATTAAACGGACTATTATTTACAGGTTTTAAATACTCGATTTATACCCATGTATATCCTTTATTTAGTGCGATTATTTAATTAACTACCAAGAGAATGTATTTTATTAATTATATCGAGTTTTTATGTACAGGTTACGTATATTTTACATCGAGATGCCTCACAAAATTGTACTTTCGCAAGGGCATTCACTGCATAGATCTGAACCATTTTTTGAATACAGATAAAGGATATTTTTCTTAACTTTAAAAGAGCTGTTGCTTTCTGTAAATCGAGGGCGTGATTTTATAAGTACACAAAATATTTGGTAAAAGTCAAACATATTTAGACATTGGCCTATTTACTTTAGAATTTAACTATTAAAACGCAAATTCTATTCAAATCAGCAGCACTTTTCAGAAACTACAAAGTATGCAGAAACAATTGATAGCTTGTATTTTTAATTTCAACTAGGGTATGCCCTTGTGATGTTGAAATTTGTTAATGACCTACATTCAGTACACGCACTATGTATTCATCACGTGACTGTCCATCGATGAGACTACACTTCATACAGTACAGAGTGGGTTATACTATGCTATTTCCATAGGTATTAAGTTCTGTGATAATAAAACAACTTATTAAAATAAATTCAATTTTTTAAAAAATCAACTTTTTTCCACGTCTATTTTCTGTTGATTTTTCATAGTAGGCCTTAACAGTGCTGCGTAGGTAGATTGTTTGTATTGGATGCACTGCATGCTAAGTTTGACTCTCTTTAAACTCGGATTCATATTGGTTCCCTTTTCCTTCTTTATATAAAATGATCAAATTTAAGATGGAAAGTGTTTTACTCTCTTTGTTACAAGGCTTCTGCGTGTTTGGTTTTTAATCTTCATGCTTTCTACAAAAAATTCACGTCTCAAGAAAATTCACATGTAGGCAAAGAAACAACCAAGACCAATTTATGAACTGAAACTTACATCTAGACATCTCTCACTAAGTAGTAGCTCTTGTCCACCTTCATTGCTTTGATTTCCAACATATGACCAGCATCTGTAGAAGAAGGTAAATGTTTAGAATTGCGGATCCAGCCATCTTGAGACTGATTGGTGACAGGGAGCAGCCAGATTTGGTCGTAGTAGGGGCCCTAGTCCACCCCAAAAGCTGATTCAATAAATCAAAAAAGTGTTTTAAATACTAAACTTATATTTTTAGCTTTAATTGATATTTCAAAGAAATGGTGTAAAATTCAATTTGTTTCCTAAGTTTGAGTTTGTCTACTCTCTTCATCAAATTTTATATGTATGTCAAATTACATTGTCTTAAAATCAAAATTTTATGAACCGAATTGTTCTGAACCATAAATATATAATCTTCCCCCATTATTTGAGATGTAAAGGAATGACAACTATTTTTATTTGTCTGAATTAAAATGATTAATACACTCTATCCTTTACTGATTGCAACATGAACTTTTCTGCAATATTTGTAAAATATTTGCTTTGCGGCCCTGATTTGATTGCAAGTCACCAAGCTACGTCAAAACCCAGTACCACAGGTTTTAAAGTACAGGTAGGCATAGGCTAGATGAAGCGTCTCACTGAACAATAGTCTTAATAAACACGTGTAAGTGCTTACAATGGCCTTGAGTGGCAAGTAAACCTTTATTTGAAGCGATGCTCAATTACTTCGTAAAATACTAGAAAATTTTAGAATAAGTGATAAACAACAAACACTCAATTCATTATTTCGTACATTTTTAAGATATATATTTGCATTTGATTAACAAAGTAATATTTATAATATAACATTCATGTCTTTGAAAACTAAATTCATAAAAGAAATATTTGGAGATAAGGAGCAGTACTCAAGATAAAAAGGCGGAAAATGCATACAAAATATGAGCAGAGCAAACATGTACCTCCAAAACATCATAGGTGGGATAAAGTGCTACAGTCCCTGAAACGTTCTACTTTCCCATTTTTCCGTTCGCTAACCGTTCGTTCAGCGTTCGTTCAGCGTTCGTTCGCCGTTCGCTCTTCGTTCACAGTATTGCGTTCACCGTTCACCGTGCGCTCGCGTTCACCATTCACAAAACGTTCACCGTTCGCTCTTCGTTCAGTTAATTTGCATTCACCTTTTCACCGTTCACTTCTCGTTCAGTCTTCATTGTCAAACTCCGAAGTGAAAGGACTTATCTTTTTGATGGTAAGGATTTACATGTTTTTTTAATTAAATAACTTAGATATCGTGTTTGAAGAATAATTATTTCATTGCAAAAATTATATATATATATATATTTCTATTATTATAACTCAGCTGTTACTTATGTCATGAAATTTCCCTGGAAAATAATACATTAAGTACCTCATGTTTGTAGAATGCTAAAATATTAAATTTAAAAAAGGGCAATTTACAAATGCTTCATGCACGGCATCAATTTGTTGTAATTTTAATTATTAAGGAGGACAAATTATTAATGGATGTATAATAATAAATCTAAGTCTTTTACAGGACAAGAATACATAAAAAAATATATATATTTCTAGGTTTGAGAATTATGAACAGTAATACAAATATTCAGTTAATTTAATATCTTTAGAGCTAATTAAATTGATGGTGTGTTTTAAATTATAGAAAAGACCAACTGTTTAAAATAGTCTATTATTAGAGAAGGAAAATTGCTACCGTACCTAAACATATGTTTAAATATATGTTTGCCATTCAGTATAATTAAGTAAGTGCCTTTTCTCCCGAATAAAATTCTATATTAAGTTTTTTCAGTAAATTTTAATTAATATTTAATTTGTATTGTAACACAAGAAAATCAGTCTTAAAACCAAATCAAACATCATTAAACAAAAATTTTAGAATTAACTTGTGCCGACAGTAGTATTTTAAATTATCAGTAATATGTTATAAATTCACTTTAAAACTTAATCCTTCCAAGTATATATTCCAATTATTTTTTTTTTTTCTGCAGGAATGCAAAAATGATCAGAAATGATAGGAAAAAATATTAAAACTTCTTGGAATACTAAGTGACTCTTTGTGTGTTGAAACGCGATTTCCACACCTCTTTCGAATTATTTTGATTGACAGGAAAACACGCTACTAGCACACTTCCTGTGCTGTGTGAACTTGATGATGGAAAATATTACTGTCAAAAGGATTTGTTAATCTAAAATAAAAAATTACCTTTAATGCTTGGAATATTTAGGAAAAATAATAAGAATTTTTATTTGATACAACAGATATCTGAGAATTGAGGGAGTTATCTCTCTCTCTCTCTCTCTGTTCAATAAAAACTATGACAGCACATTTAATACTTATTTAGTTTTGAAAATTTAATCCATTACAAATAATTTGAAAGCCTATTTCCAACATCTTGAGAATAATCACGGCCAGGGAAATGTTTACAGATACATGAAGAAGTTAGCTAAAATAATCGTCATAAAAGAATACAAAAGGCACAATAATATAGAATATTTTGCATTAGAATTTAAATAAAACGAGAGATTTTATGCAGTACGATAACAGTCAATGTCAACAGATAATTGTCAATTTAAAAAAAAAATCCGTTATTTTACTCAGAATCGCTTTGGCATTTTTAAATACAGGTATGGTTGTTTCAACCGAAAATGTAATTAATTCATTCTATAAGTAGTAGTTTTATCGTCAGAAGTCCACAAATTTTATTAGTGAAAAGAATAAATTCTCTATATAAATAGAAATTTTATATTTAATCTACACGCGTTCGGAAACAAATATATATGTTTTACGGCAAATAAAATCGTGTTAAAAAATATCGATTTGAAACATAGGTACATATATGTACAGAACAAAAAATGTTTTTATTTTTATTTATTTATTAAAATTAATTGATTACTATCTATCTAGTTTATTTATATCTAAGCACAAATTAGAATTAAAGAATAATAGAATAATCTCAATCCAAGGAAAACATCGCAGGCATTCCGAATAAAGCGTTTTATCTTGCGTTCACCGTTCGTTCACCATTCACTTTGCGCTCGCGTTCGCGCTCCGTTCGCGTTTGCGTTGACTCACCGTTCACCGTTCACACACGTTCACCAAGTCATTCAGCGTTCGTACATTTTCACCCACCGTTCGCTCTGCGTTTGATTAACAAAGTTCGTTCAGCGTTCGTTCACCGTTCAGGTGGGAAAGTCGTTTAAAAACTGTATGTGGGGTAGGAATCATTGGATATGACGACCGCCCCGTGCTCATAGTAATGATCAAGAAATAACAGAAAAAAAAATCTGTTTTATAAATAATGAACTAATAATTAGTACTGATGACGTTAGTCAGTATTTGACTCAATGCTGGATTGTATTTGTTGACAATGTCATTGTATCGACCACAGAATTTACGAAATGATTACCTTTATCAAGATTGCTGATATTTTTGATTCATCAACGTTTTTGTCAACAATTTACAAATTGTTCATATGCAGATCATACAAAAACAGTCAATGAATTTTTCGTACATTTCTAAGATATATATGACTTATGTTTATTGTTTAATAAAGTGATATGAATAATACGACGTGCATATCTGAAAATATTATATTCATAATTTTTTGCTAACTTTACATATTGTTTTCAATAGATAAATAAAAAAAAAGGAATTCTGGTAATGAACAATACGAAATATCATACCCGTCATCATTATATGCATATCCAATAAATTTGATGAAATATTTATCCTCATTTGTCTTGAGTCTCCATTTCACACAGGTAGTTTGGGAGATATTATAAGCTGTTTTCTGGATTAAATTGACAGCCTTGCTTAACCTAGGACCTTAAAAGAAATAAAGCAGAAACGTCTTAGATCAAAAAATGGCGTGCAGGTAAACTAGTTAATGTTCTTGGTCGATTAAATCATACAAGACAACAAATCACTTGTAAAGTCACATTTACTGAAAAAAAATATTGCCATTAGACCCCGTTTTTAATCCAAGAAGGATGAAGAGCTGAATGATATTTTATGAACAAAGACTATAAAACAAAAGCATTCTGATCTACTTAGAATGGGCATCACTGTTATTTTCATGTGACTGTATTTAAAGGTTAATTTATATGTTATTTTGAATGTTCATACAGAAAATATCACACTTTGGAATCATTTTATCGTGGGTTAGTTTGGAAGCAAAATGAGACCTGTTTGTGGGGACGTAATTTCTTTGATATTAAAATACAATGGTAAATAGAATCAATAAATAAAAATACGGATGTTAATTATGAGGCAAGCTTGACCAACGAAATCCGTTAACATTAGTCTACCACGAACAATAGTAGTTCTACAGTATTTTCAGCGTAAAAAAATTATAACATCTTTACCAAAAGATTTCGTATCAATATCATATGGAATGATATTGTTTTTCCATAAAGGATTTCTTGAGATTCCGAAATTTCTCTTCTCATGTGCTGCAACCTGGTAAAAATAGTAGATAAACTATTTTAGCTTGTAAATGTAATATATAAATGTTATATGAAAAGCAGCGAATAAAATTCAGATAGGATTGTCTTAAATCAGGCACATTTAATGACTGCTTTTTATCAGGTTAATTTAAATGCAATAATGTGTTTGAATTTCTTTTTAAGATATCATAATTGTTATTTCTGGAAAATCATTAGGAAGGCAAATCTTTACTCTTCATGAAATATAGTTAAACAGAAACTAATAATTTTTTTTTTGCTTTTGAAAAGCACTTTTTCCAAAATATTTATTCTATGATTATTAATTTGTTAATTGTCTTAATTCATTAATAAAAAAATACAATAGTCAAGAAATATTAAAAATTTGTATAAATGCATTTTTTTTCCCAGTGCTAATCCGACGTGTTGCCCTGTCCATCTAGTATATAGTTGTCTGGGGTTTATACTGAATTCGCTATACCTCCTTTTTTTTTTTTTTTAGAGAAAAATCATTGTTCGAAAAAGAAATTAAGTTGATTGATAATGGGCACAGTCTCTTGCTTGGAGCAGTGGTAAGAGCTTCTGCTCTAGAGTCGCCAGGTAAGTAGTAAATCCTTACATCGCAGGTTTGATCCCTACTGCGGGACGTGGAGACCGGTCCTTTGCATAAAACCGTATTAACTGGTCTCCCGTGTCGCAGTATGTGCTGGTTCAAAAAAGACCCTTCAGTGATCAATGGCTCTACGTGCCGAGCATACGACATGACAAGGAAATTTCAGCTCTCTAATGACAAGTGCTGTCTCCATCAGGAAAAAATCATGCAACAGCCTTCGAACAAAAAAACATTTGTTTACCTTTCTGATTCCATACACCTGTGGGGGTCTTCGATCTTTTTCATCATCTTCCTTCTGTTTCTTGTCGATGCATAAATCGTCAGGCTTTAAAGAAAATATTGATCTTGTGTGTATTATGACCAACTATTATTGTACTCTCCGCTTGAAAAGAG